TGAGTGAACCAAAAGTAATTTTTTTCTATGTACAAATTCATTCAAACGACCAACTGTCGATAGAATTCCAGTTCTCGATGGACTTGGTGACCGAGATAGTTTATCATTCCTACATGGCCAGACTTCATTCATTCTTTAAAATTGAGATTGCAGTAATAAGGAATAGAAAACTACTCTCTGCTTCATTTCTTCTGGAAGAAATCATGCAATTCGCAGATTCATAACCCTAGGTTTTTTTTCTTTTGGGGTGTCGCAACTCCCTTCTGAACTCTCACCAGGAAGAGCAAAAGAAAAGGGAACCTGCATAATCACTTAATTTAACTTTTAACTTCTTTTGATGATATTTTACATAATAAAACCAACAAGAATTAGTTAACTCTTCGGTTTGTAGATTGCTGTAATCATAAAAGTATATAAACCTCTAGCTGAGATTCACCTCCTACTTATCACAGCCCAGCAAAATACTGATCTCTGAATCGAATCGTTGATGAAATTTCTATAGGAGCTTCGAGAGGGGTAAGACGAAGAAGGAGAAGACGGCGAAGGGTAAGAAGGCGAAAGAGGAGGAGACGAAGAAGGCAAAGAAGGCGACGTAGATTGAGGCGAAGAAAGAATCGTCGAAAAAGAAGAAGAAGAAGACGCCAAAGGAGACGACGAACAAAACGATGTAAGTTTTTATCATTAACCTTCGGGTATATTTACACTTGTACTTATACTGTGAAAACAAATGTTCAAGAAGCTTTCTTCGCAGAAAAAGCTTAACTTCTGGGATTGTTATCTAGAAATGATATTTTTTTACAACAAATTTCCAACGTTCCACGGCTCCATTCCTCGAGAGGAAATCAGATTTCTCCTTAGTCCTTCATTCTTGAGAATGATGAATAGAATGTTTCTCTAGCCGACGACTGTGTTTAAAAATTACCACTTTTCTTATCCCACATCTTCCCCTTTTTTCGCCTCATTGAGTTGACAAAATCATATATAGAAAGTAATCTTAGTGACTTAAAATGTGCCGAGGAATCCCAACAGAAACCACCACGCCCCTGTTGTTCGAGGGGCAGATAACACTCTGCACTGAAAAAATCTCTATCCGACGCCTAGCGCGGTACAAATTAAATTAATAGCACCTGCATGTAACTGTGACTATCACTTTAGTCCTTAAATGATCGCAAGTATTGTTCGGTGTGTACTTCTAACTTCATGTCCGATAAAATGTTAACGTAGTTTAAATCTGGCATGACTTCGTGTGTTTGAGTACATTTTTGTTACTGAGGAGACCTCAATTTGCTAAAGATTGAATGTGATGAACACTGATCCAGTCCTGGACTTATCCCTTGATCACATGCTTTGGTACCATTTGATGTTCCTAGCTAAAACATAGGAAAATCTTTTCATCTACAGATATCTTCAAATACGGCGGTCGGCGACGTGTAGTGCGCACAACGCGAAAGTACGTTTGCAGGCTAAAGGGCAGGAGATATCCCATTCTCGGGTTCAAAAGGCGCTTAAGGATACTTATAAGAAGGAAATGGTGCAGGATTAGACGCAAAGGTCGACGATGGAGAGTACGCATTAAGCGGCGATGGTGCCGTCTGAAGAAACGAGGTAGAAAGTGGATCTACAGACTCAAAAGAAGATGGTTGCGTCTCAGACGTGTCAGGCTTAGAGTCCGCATCAAGCGTAGATACTACCGTGTGAGACACCGAAGAGGACGTTGGTCATTTAGGTTCAAGAAGGGATGGAAAGGAATAAGGCGAAGGCGTTTAGCTTATTTCCGCTTTAAAGGACGCAAGCGCTATGTGAGGATTGGACGAAGAAAAATAACCTATAAACGAAAAAGATTCCGGTTCATAAGACGAATAATTCGTCGTAAAAAAGGTAATTACTTTTATAGGTAGTTGAGTGTTAACCACGTGGAGGGCAGTGAGTCCTGGAATTTGCCCGGATTTTTCAGGACCTAAGACTCAGCCGATGTTCAGGGTGAAACATAAAATACCCAGGTGAAATTGAATACTATCTTCCTTCCAACGTGTCAGTGCTGGTCAATACTTTGTTGACCCAATTTTGTAGTGATTATTTTTTGAAACTATCTTCAGTCAATACCTTAGAGTCTTATCTGCTTTGCGAGTCTACATATAATATAACCGCAAGGTTTTTATGACAGGTCAGTTGCCAATTTGTGATGTTCTAGTCGTCTTTCAGTAGCAATGAGAGCTTCAGTAATAGAAAAATGATGCTCTGGTGAATCCTGTGCCTCGCAGAACATCCAAAAGATACTGGTCATATACTTGGCATCGTCTCGGGGAACAGTTAGGGTCTCGAGGAGCAGATCTCATTGTTTCCCTATGGGCAGGTCATTAACTACTTATGGTCCATAAGTTGGTAGAAATAAGGCAAGTTGATGACGGGCGGATCGGGCATAATGGTTAGGAAATGAACTCGTAATGTTCCGACGACTTCTCCATCCAGTGCACATTATGTAACAAAGACAATCTTCCCGATCCGTCAAAAGTCGTGTAATTTTCACGCTGTCTTTAAACGATAGCTTTCGAATTACATTTTAGTCTTGACCCGACGTGCTAGAAGGCGAATGTTGCGACGGCGACGAAGAAGGTCCAGACGGCGATTAAGGCGAAAACGACGCAGAAAGCGAAAAAGGAGGAGAAGACGACGAAGACGCCGAAGAAGACGCCGAAGAAGACGCCGTCGACGAAGGCATGGGCGAAGAAGGAGACCAAAGAGAAGAGGTAAGGAGAGCCATGAGTTCGTAACTCAGTGCCAAGGTTTTATTCTGAAATTGCTTAGTCACTTAGTAAATGGGAGAGCGAAGGTTAAGATAAATATTTCCATCCTTAAGTGAGGACGTCTATTAGATAAATAACGATTTGAGTACAATTTTTTAGGAAAAATAACCGAATCATTTCCCACCGGGCTTCATAAAACTCGTATTTCGGCGGTGATAACTTCGAGATTCTCCCATGTTTCTTTTCAAATAACAAATTTATCTACAATTTTTACCAACATTGACGGAGATATTTGAAATATGGGTATCAGTCTTTTGTAGATGAATATGCACAAAATTTGGTCATTTTAGTCCGGTTTGACGGTCCTTTCAAAGAAAGATTTTCAGAAGCCCCTAACCACCTTTCGAATTCAACGCGCGGTAAATAGACGATAACTATTTGCCAAAATTTATTCTCACAGGTGTTAGTAAGAGACGATATCGAAGGCGACGAAGACGTCAACGGAGAAGAAAACTGAGGAGGCGTAGGCGAAGACGTCGTAGAAGACGTCGTAGAAGACGTCGACGACGAAGAAGTAGGCGACGTAGAAAACGCCGAAGAAGACGGCGACGAGGTGAGACAAACGATTGTTAGTAGACTGCAGTAGTTTTGAAACCGGCAGCCTATCAGAACAAAGGTTAACTGGAATGAATATGTTTGTATGTATGTATTTACGATGTTTCGACAGGTCAACCCAGTTCAGCTTGAAGCTGGTTTAAATGGGGGCCTGTGCATCTCACCATCCCACCCCAAGGGAGGACATCCATCACACAGTAATCTCGTGTGTGGGAAATTAACGTCTCATACCCCAACCCTGTAGGAGACAGGACCTCCATTTATTCGTCCCCGTTCGTATCCTATCCTATTGAAGAGCCAGTTTAATGAAGCTTAGGGTAGCTGATTAAAATTTATAAGCTCTAAGCGCCGAATAACAAGCTTTGTAGCTGCAATCGATTAGAAAAGGACAAATTTGGTTTCGGTGTACTGAACCAATAACGGAGAATTGGAAATTAAAGTTTAAAAAGTTAAATCGGGAGAATTCTTGATCAATTGTGACACGCAATGGGAACCGGCTTACTCCGTTTCCCCAATGCTGCCAAGATTTAAACTGGAAAGCGAAAAAATTGCCTTTGTGCACACCTTAAGAAAATCACTTACCATCATATCACATGCTTAGTTATGATGTTTGAGATGGTAATGACGAGGGATTCTGCGGATTATTATAATGCCATCCGCAAATGTAACATAAATAATTGTGATAACAATAATACCGCGCACAACCTGAAATATTTCTTCTTTAATGACTGCAGGATTGCGACTACCCAAAGTACGTTTTGGCGGTAAATACCGAAGAATAGGTACTACTCGACGTTGGGTTGTAAAAGTAGGCAGACGAAAGTATCAAGTCCGTGGTTTCCAACATGGACGCCTCACTATTAGAGTCAGAAAGAGAACTGCACCGCTTCTTCGTCGAGGTCGTTTCTGGTATATACGTTTCGGAAGAAAACTAGTGAGAGTGAAAAAAAGGCGTGGACGACGGTATATAATTTGGAGACGGAAGATAATCTATTTGAGGTGGGTCCTCAAGTTACGCTTCAAGGGTGTCAGACGCTTTGTTCGATGTCGCAGAGGAAAGTATAGCATTCGGATCCGCAAGAAATGGGTGTCAATAAGGAAGCGTTCGCAGAAGTTCATCAGGCGCGGACGTCGAAGATATTCGATAAAGAAACGAGGCAGGAAATTCTTCGTAAGGTATCGGAAAAAATGGAAGCGAGCGAAATTGAGATGGAAGAAACGTTATCGAAGAGGTAAGTAACGCCAGTAGAATAGGTTGTCAATATTATGGCGGCGATAGTTAATTTCGTTTACTTTCCAAATATTTCACTGAGCCACATGCATCATAATTGCGACCCTAGTTTGAAGATGAAACAGAAACTTCACTCAATATTAAAAAAAAAAAGCTATGAGAAGGTGGATCTTTGAGAGTGAGGTAAGGATAAGCAGGCATTTCAACTTTCGCGACACATTGTAATGGTCAGATTTATATATCTGCTTGAAAATGTAATTGGGCAAATCATTGCGGGGTCCAGGTTACCCGGGTAAGAACGATGTGCTTCCATTTTGGCACCTAGCAGGGGCCAAGAAAGCAGTAATTTAACAGGTGTCTTGATGAACTTTTTTAGGCCGGCGACGCTCCAGCATTCGTAGAAGACGGCGAAAGAGGAGGCGGCTTCGACAACGTAGAAGACGGAGAAGAAGAAGGAGACGAAGGCAAAGAAGGCGAATCAGAAGAAAGCTTAAAAGACGTAAGTATATTAGGTTTTGCCCCAGCAACGTTCGTGTTGACCATGTTTGATGTATTATAAAATTTTATAAAATACGTACACGGTACCTGAACGGTAGGATGATATTCCTGTCACCTTATTAAATGGTTAGGGTTTCAAATCGCTTCTTGACAGATGTACTTACCGAAATTAAAACAATTCGTAGGAAGAAGAGCATCAAGGATACGCTTCCGTCGTCGATATCATATTATAAGATATCGCAGGCAGTACATCATCCGATACAAGGGACGAAGAACTCGATTGCCTCAATTCAAACGGCGTGGACTTACAATCCGTGTATTTAAGCGACAGAGGCGAATTTTCAGAATACGCAGACGATGGTACGTTAGGATAGGACGAAGAACGGTTCCTGTCGTGCGACGTGGCCGCCGTCACGCCATACGCTGGGGAAGAAAATGGGTGTGGCTAAGATGGAGATTTAGATTACGCTTTAAGGGCGTCACGCGTGTGATAAGTTGTCGAGGAAGACGTTGGAGAATACGTATAGGAAAACGTCTCGTGCGTATTAGAAAACGTAGAACACGCTACATCATTGCTGGACGGCGACGATATGCAGTGAAGAAAGCAAGAGGAAGAAGATATAGTATACGGGTGCGAAGGAAGTGGATTAGGGTAAAGCGAGTCAAACGACCGAGGCGAAGACGTAAGTAACAAAATTTTGTCATTTGCAGTTTTAAGTTTTCTTTTTTTTTCTAGTTTCGTTTGAACCATTTTCCCTCTCATGGCTCTCAGTAGGGTTGAGCTGTAAGCACGTCGTGATAATTATTGGGTGTGCTGGCAAGTCTGTCCATTCTAGAGATGTTTATTTCTAGGAATTTGAAGACTACGTAAACAAACTGCTAAGAGCCACTTGTCTTTCGTGGATGACACTAGAGTTCGATTATCGAGTTCAGACCGAGGTTTCACACTTTTCGTTCTCACAGTTACCGTTCCATTTGTTTTTGCGTTCTGTGGCCTCGGTACCAAGATTTTTCTTTGCGTCTGAATTGAATTGAATAACCTCAGACTCTCACTCTGTCGCCAGTGAAAACTGATCTAAAAAAGACAGCACAGAGGACATAAGTTTGATTCCGCGAGCATAATTTTATTGGGGGTGACGTGTAATTTAACAAGGATCACTCTTTTCATGAAATAGTCGAGGATGCTTTATGCTTTCCCCTTGATATTACGTCTTATAGTCCAACGTATATTTTAGCTCATGCGCGATTGGCCAAAAAACATTACGTGACCGAATATCGCCCCAACTAATATATCCGTGGATATACCCCCACTGATATTCCCAATTTTTACACCTTACGTCCGCTACGAAAAACTCTGCGCTTAGAATTTAATTCAAGATGAGAAACGTTTTGTGGTTTTTACAGAAGAAGGAGCGTTTTTTTATTTATTCGTTTATAAAATCATATCAGAGAACACCGAAAAGTGAACATGCAACGCCGTAAACGCTAAGCTGTTCGTGAACATAGTTACCGTGCGTTGAAAGATATTTGATATTAAAAACAATAGCCTCCATTTGGTGTGAAGATGTGCTCGTAGATTTTTCCTTGGACATTTTCTGTTCTTCTAAGTGAAGATTACGAACAATCAAACTGCTAAACATAGACGATCTAATGCTTGAATTGTTAGCAATTGTTCGCGCATTTTGAGTTTGAGTAATCAACTCGACAAAAGCACAGTTAAAAGTGAAAATGAAGGTGATTTTGCAATGAGCACGCATTCTCACTTAATACATGGAATTTTGTTTCACCATGCTATTGTCGCCAGTTTATTACGTCAAAGAACTTAAATTGAAATGATAATTTAAATGGTATACTCTTTATTTCATGCTCAATTGAAAATTGCGAGTTGGTTTTTGTCGCTTTCGAAAGCCGTTTGCAATATTCATACGCGGACACAATTAGGTTGTCATTTGACACGGTTAACGTGTCATTTTGGTCACTTGAACTGCGTGCAATTTCACTCGTGGTCATGCCTTTTTGCTCGCTTAAATTGCGAGTTAGTTTACTCAAAAAACCTAGTACTGTTCCTCTTGACACGCGCCTTTATTTTTACCGCTACAAAACCGCCGTGTCATTTGTTATCGTTTAGCTTTTCATTTTACCGTGCCCGTGCGTTCACCTTAGTACACGTTTTCTTGTGGTGGGTCACATAAAATTGTTTGCCTATCACATTCTCATTCTCCAAGTGAAAATTGCCTTCTTCGGCCAACTATCTCAAAAGTTCGAGTTTCAGAAAGCTCAAGAGTTTACCTGAGAGTACTTATTCAAATAGGGTCTCATTATGTTTACGCATTTTAATGTTATTCCATATATAAAGATGTAGCAAAGATACTTCGCAGACATCTGCTGATGATCGATTTTGTCTTTTTAGGAAAACCAAGGTGGTACAAGCGTATGATTAAAAGAAGGCGACGAAGGCAAAGGAGACGACGTCGAAGACGTCGTAGCCGACGCTATAGGCGGAGACGATCCCGTCGAACACGGCGACGCAGAAGACGAAGACGAAGGCGAATAAGACGAAAGAGACGACTAGGAGGTAAAAGATATTCGCTTCGTTTTGAAAAAGAGCGGTATTTCTAATTCAAAGAAGAGAGTGGCCTGTTCCTTTCTTTGTCCCTCTAAAAACAATCTAAGTGTTGACGATTTATATTCCACCACAATGTGTGGAAGAAAGAAAGTTTCATAGAGGTTGCTTTTTTTTTTTTTCTATTGAACGCGCTCTCGCTGCGTGTGAAGGTATATCACTGTTCTCTGGTAACCGAGAAGAAGAATTACAGTGGATATAGAAACAAAAAAAATCGAGTGATGTTGTCAAAAATTTCATAAAACAGCTCTTAACTATTTCAACTTGAGATTAAGTATTTTAGTTTTAGAATGAGGACAGTGTTTGATTGAGATTAAAAAAAATCTTTGGTGGCCAGCGGCCAAAAAGATGTCTTTTAAAAGCTTGAGGACAATCATCCATTTTGCAGTATCTTTCGTTGGCCCTATGTGGAAATTTAGAAAGTGGTACCTTTGCAAAATATTTATTGACCTTCGACGTTCATTTGCCCGTACTTCCCTCTCTGTTAACAGGCTGGAGGCGACGTAGAATTTATTTCGCGGGACGTTTCCGCGTTTTGAGGACGTCTAGACTTCGATTGAGTATCAAAATGAAAGGAATCAGGAACAAAATTCATCTAGGTAGAAAGTTACTCAAGATCAGGTACGGTGGAAAATATAGGGTTGTGACATTCAGAGGGAAATTACCGTACCTCCAGATTGGAAAGACTTCTTACCGCATCTACTTCCGCGGACGGTATTGGACCATAAGAAGAGGGGGAACGTTGCGACGCTTACCTAGGAATGTGAAGTATTATTTCATGGGAAAATGGCGACGGGCGAAATATACCGGGAAAAGAATGTACCTCTGGTACAAACGGCGCTGGTACCATGTGACACGACGAAAGGGGTATACCATCCGCTATCACGGTAGAACACTAAGGGTGAAGAGGACACGTAGAGGATATAAAGTACGCTTTAGGGGTCGCTATGGAAAGGCTCGAAGAGGTAAGATGGAAACGGAGCTAACGAACTATTTATTTATCACCCGACACCCAAAGGTACGCAGGGGTTTATTGAATGAGCCTAACGGAAAACATGGAGAAACCTTAAGGAAATATTGTGGCCTCTTAATTCTTCAACAAGAATTAACTTGACAAAGCTTTTGAAATAATAGCGTGACATGGATGAAACAACCTTTACAAATAGAAGTTGCAAGGGGAATGGGGGAGGGGTTAAAGTGATGATAGAAAATAAGAACAATTTCAGGTGTAGTATACAGTCTGTGAGTTTATAGCAGCCATGACTCTAGTATAAGTCAGTAGTGGGCGCAAGTTAGTTGATGGTAAAATTTAATCGTGCCGCTTAGGAGTCGCCCATTTATTGTTGCTACCTTTCAAAGTGTAGTTGATTAAACAAGCTTGCTACTTAAGTAGCTGCATAGGATATACTCTCTCCGTCGATAAGATTATACCCTAACCAAAGTCATTTATAACTACAGTAAGGAAAAGAAAACCGAGGATAAGAAGAGTTCGAGGGAGAAGGAGGAGACGGTACGGACTAATAAGAAGAAGAGGACGGCGAGGAAGACGACGAGGACGAAGGAGACCTGGTAGACGATTCAGACTAAGAAGAGTAGGACGGCGAGGAAGGCGTAGAAGAAGGAACGGATTACGACGTCGAGGACGAAGGAGACCTGGTAGACGGTTCGGACTAAGAAGAGTAGGACGGCGAGGAAGGCGACGACGTAGAAAAAGGTACAGATTACGACGTCGAGGACGAAGAAGACGTGGTAGGCGATACAAGTTAAGAAGATATCGTGGACGAAGGCGTAAGTTTTAATTTGCAATTTTGATCTTTATGTTTGACCCAGTAGAGATTTTGAAACGGTGTTTTTGGGAAAAAAATTGGTAGCTTTTTAATTAACCCGGTATAGATTAACACTAAGTCGATATAATTCATAGTTTGTTCTTCGAGAAGGTAATTCTGGTAATTCCTTTGCGAAAGTTCAGTTGTCTTTTTCTGAACATTCAAAACGTTTGGGTAGATAGTGAATGTAAAATTGCAGTACCTGGACAATCTATCATTAAATTACTTTTGATTTCTTCACGTTGAGGGTATCCATTTTCTTTTTCGAATATCAGGATTGTTGTCAGTGATTTGCCTTTTTGAAAAGTATCCTTCCGTTTCATGTTTCTGTGGTCAAACGGGTCTTAATGGTTTCTTTAAACGTTCGTGTGAAAAATAAGATTATATACACAAAGTAGCCAGGTAGTCGCCATTTTAGGCTTTGCTAACATTCTGCTACACAAACTCTGACTTTAGAACTGAGACTTTTCGTATTAACACATCATACGCGTGATAAGGAGCGTTTTTTATCTATACTATATTATTCTCCTTTTTTCAAATTAGGTCGTCCTAGACTCTACTTTAAAGGACGTTACCGACATTTGAGGAAAGGAGGAAAAGTATGGTACGTGAAAATTGGTCGACGTAGATACAAACTTCGCACAATCGGCCGACGAGTAAAAGTATACTACAAAAAACGATGGCGTCCATGTAAAAAGCAAAGTGGAAAGTGGTACATCTGGTATGGAAGAAGGTGGAAGCCTATCATGAAGCGTGGAGGTCAGTGGTTCATGAAAACCCGCCGGCACTTACAACGGCTAAGAATGAAGGCGAATCTGCTAATGATCAAGTTCAGACGAGTCTGGGCGCGCATGATGATGCTGAAGAGGAAGCTGTACCTTAAACTCGGTCGTAAATGGAAACGAGTGGTTCGACGTCGAATGTATCGCATACGCTATCACGGCCGCAATCTGCGGGTAAAGAGGAGAGGAAGAAACGCTATAGTTCGATATCATGGACGCTGGCTTCGCAGGAGAAGGATAGTTAGGAAACAACCTCGTCGCCTGTGTAAGTAAATGCATCTTTATCGTTCGCCATAACCTACACAGACTTGAGGAGGGGAAGAGCGACTGATACCGGACATGAAATGAGGACGCTGCAGTGTGCATGTATCACATTTTGATGTCAGAACTTTGCTATTTGTGAACCCTGAGCTAAAAGGGACTAACATTTTTAGTTGGAAATTAGGATTTAAAGCAAACTTTAAGACAAGCCTTAGACTCGCGTTTTAAGTATGCTTATCAGGGACCCATCTTTTCGTTGGACAATGTCTTCGTTTGAAGGAAAATTTCTTCATTAGTTTCGTTTCACAAATATGCGCGAAGTCAAGTGAATGGGTGACCTGGCCTTCTTCCGAAGAACGTGCTTTTACGAGGGCCACGTTATCAAAAATCTTTTTGACCATTCCATTGGTATAAAAAAAGTAAGAAATGTCCCTCTAGATGGACAACTAGAAGAAATTTTTTCGGAATGATTAAACAAAGCGTTGCATTTGGACATATTTTAGAAACACAATGTACGGTGCTTTCTTTGTGAAGCTTTTACCACAAACTTGAAGCTTCCTCTTTCGTTAGTGAGTGATCATCAGCTACCCACTTTTTTTAGCGAGAAGACAGAAAAGGCGACTGCGAAGGAGAAGGAGACGGCGGGCTAGGAGACGACGACGTCGAAGGAGAAGACGAAGAAGGCGAAGAAGAAGACGCAGACGGCAGCTCAGGAGATATGGAAGGCGACGACCGCGACGTATGTAAATTAGTTTAAGCTGGTGGATAGCCAATCGATTTGATACCACTATCGAGGTGAAAATCTTGGAGTATATCGGTTCCATTGATGACGATATAAATTGCCAGTCGCCGCGACAGTTTAATAAAATCGGTAATATGTATCATTACAGTTACTGACGTTTGATTTACCAGCATTTAAGATCCTATAAACTCATCTGATTTCCTTGATTTACAACTTGTTGAATGTCAATCAGTTTGTAAAAGGGTGCAAATGGTTTACTAAAAGTTTTAGTTTTCATCTCAATAGATCAAGAATTCACCTCTCAATTCTGTTCCAAAATGCACAGCAAGTAATAAAAGCTTCGGTCATTGTGCCAATTTAAGTAAAATTTTATTTTACAAAGATAGCGCGTATTACATAAAGGCCTAGTTTTCGCTACCCTGATTTTCTCCCGGATTTCCTAACGTTTTGATGGACTTGTAAAAAAACTCCCACATGTTTTTGTCTTTTTTCTTTTTAGGTCGTGGACGCGGCAGAAGAGGACGACGAGGAAGGCGTAAGTATTAAGGGTCCGAAAATGACAACAAGTGTGCTTATATTTTAAACTTTGCTTGCGCTGATGTAAAAAAAGTCAGGAATTCCATTGAATAGGAAAAGAGTGTATGTACAAGTGAATAGCAAGTTCTATTCACATCGGTGAATAACTGTTATATAGTGTACCAAATCAATTGTGGCAAGCAAACTTAGTGTAAAATGTTGTCGTTTTGTACAGGAAGGAGATACATCCGCTACCGTGGAATACGACGCAAGGTAACGATCAGAAGGAAATACTTCAGTGGACGGAAACGTATTTCCAGGTTCAGACGGAGAATAAGGATTATAATCCGAAGAAAATCTAGGAAAATAAGACGCTTCCGTAAACGATGGCGAGTGAAGATTAGAAGGAGATGGTGTGGACTGCGAAGATTCGGTCGAAACTGGTATCTAAGGAGAAGACGAAAATGGAGGAGGATTAAAAAAGTCCGACTTGTGCTGAGATGGAGAAAGCGAAGACTACGGATTAAACGGCGAGGGAAGAAGTGGTACATAGTATGAAAAAAGCGATGGAGGCCTGTACGGCGTAGAGTTCGTTGCAGCATCCGGTTCCGTAGAAGGCGTTTGAGGGTAAAGCTGATTGGTAGAAGAGGCGTTAGAATCTTCAGAAAGGGTCGATATGGTAGAAAAAGGAGAATTCGATTTAGGCGTAAGTTGTCAATGAAACTAAACGATTAATTATAGTTTCCTTAATAAAACATGCATTTGTTCAACAAGAACACCTCGTCAAATTAAAGAAGCAATGAAATGTTTCCTTTGAGTGCAATAGGAAAGTGGTGCTACCCTACTGTTTAAGGGGTGAATTGAAACCTTTCAAGTTAAATTAATTCTGCATTGT